CGGCCGGCGGGGAGGGCCGGCGGAAACAGCCGCGGGGCTTCGGGCGACTTGTGCGGTTTGTTCTCCCTCCCAGCACAGCGGCCCCGACTCTCTTCCAGACCTGCGTCTGGATGGGAAGATAAAAGGATGGAGGAGCAGTGGTGGAAAGGGGAGCTGGCAGCAGACATCCACCAGACCCTGAGGACGAAGGTTGGGTCCCACTCTCTTCCTTTCCCTCCTCCTCGCTCCCCCCTGCGCCCTTTCCTCCCCTGCAGAAGCGCCCGGGCACCGGCCCACGGAGGGAGGGGTGTTAAACTGCCCGGGCTGGGGCTGGGTGCTGGAAAACCCGCCTTCGGCAGGTCTCAAAGGAGCAGGTTTGCACAGAGCTCTTCCCTGTACTCCGCTTTTTGATCGAGACTTGTTTAAAACCAAACCTGTGAAAGCTGCTACCTAAAAATACCTACCTGCAACTTTTCAGTAGCTTTAACTTAGCCGGAGTGTTGATGACTCCTTGCATTAAATGCTAAGAAGATGCTGATGTTGAGCCGCAAAAACTCAGCGTCTTGTAGGATCTGGAGAAACAGCGTTGCTTCTTTTCCAACAGATAAATGCTAAGATTCGAGTAAAAGATGGGATCCTGTTCCCTGGCAGACTGTTGAGGAGCTGAAAGATGTGCAGACGTGGCTTGTAATGGCTTTTCTAGAAGTTAATGTATCGTTTACAAGTGGATTAGAAAACCAGTAAAATGTCCTGCAATAAGGAAGACAGTCCGGTTGCAGTTTGAGCTGGTGTACCGTACGGAGAGCGGGTAGAACTAAGGCTGTTCGTGTACTTTTCCCGTTTCCTTAGGTAGGCTCCCAACTTTGGAGAAGCTCTAAGTACAGTTAGCTGGGTAACCTGAGAGAGAGCCCTCAGCAAATCAGACTCCCTGCACGGGACACAGCTTTTATGTTACTGAAGTTATGGCTAGCAAAGTTAATGCTTTGGACATTCTGTTCCCTTTGTTTCTTTACAGGCATTTAGCAATAAATTATGTCAGGTGAGTTAATTGTTATCAGGTCTCCGTGATTGTTCCAGCTGAGGCAGGTCTTCCTGGCCCTACAGCGAGGGGGGGGAATAATTGAGAGAATCCAACTGACAAGGCGTGAAAAGGTGGGGGGAAGCTTTGATTTTTATTTACTGTATCCACTACTTTTTAATCAACTATTTCATTCTTCAGCCTGCTTTCTGGGTGCATCTGACTGCTCTAGATTGCTAAAACCTCTTTGTATATGGAGACTAACCTAGGCCAGCTGAAATGATAAGAATTATTTAAATTTAAAGAACCTGCAAAGAGGGAGAAGAGTCTCTGGGCTGCTCTGCTTTTTCTGCTTTGAGGAAGGTCTACAACTCTTCCTGCTTGAACACTTTCAATCCTAATTCTGCCCACCTTGTAAGGATGACTTTTCTTTTTGAAGGAGGTACTACAGGAGAATCCAGAGTGCAAGTATATCAAGCAAAATAATCACAGCCCCTGAAACTTTTTTTGTTCACTGTGATTTTTTTTTTTTCTCTCAAGTAATATTCTGCAGAAATAACTCATAAGTATTATTACTGAGTTTTGCTTTTTTGATGTCTAAAGTGTCAGAGTTTACCAGAGAATATCCTGGAACTCCTCAAAAGGATCCCTCAGCAAAGTTTGGGAAGATAACTAGTTTTGAGGTACTGAAGTCAGTTTTGTGAGCATGGACCAGTTTTAGGGATGCCTATGGCAAAGGCATAGAACAAAATAAGCTTCAATAGCGGCATCCCTGCTAGAGTATTAGTGTGTTAGTGCATTATTAGTGTATTAGCATGTTAATACTGGAATACAGAAAATTCAGGCCCTCAAAAATGGTACCCTCAAGCCTAAATGACCTCTCTGGTTTAAGATACTTGCAGAGGAGTCCTGGTCTGGAAGAGTGTGTGTCTCTGGTCTTGGGTGAGAAAAAACAGGTCTTAGTTTTAGCATGTGAACCTGACAGGAAAGTTACTTAAAGATGCTTGTCAAGGAGGTGGAAATGTATGTTGCAGGCTATCCCACTTTTTTTTAAAGAACATACTTAAAGTCTGGGTTTAAGGTGAGGAATAAGATGTCCCTTTTAAATAACGTAACTCTTTTCCTAAAACAACTGAAAGATCATTAGAAACACTTTTTTTCCAAAATAATTTAGACACACAAATATAGGAGATGTATGCCTATGAAACAACCCAGGTTTTATGTTAACAACTGCAAAAGATGTTATGCCATCCCTCCCATCCTCCCAACTGGATTTGGGAGTTCTTCTTAACCTCACTGAAAGTTGGTGTCCTTTGTGACAGATGTTGTGTGCTGTATCTGATGGATACGTTCTGCACGAGAGCAGATACTGAATGCATGTGGTATACCTGGCTTCTAATTCAGAGGGCTGAGAGATGCTGTGAGGCTTTGTGACTTCCCAAAGGCTCTAGCTCAATGAGGAGGAAATTAATAGCCCCTGAATTGTCTGACTAGTAAAATACCTGTGCTGTGATTATTGGGATGTAGTGTTCAGCTTAGCAGGACTGTATTATGTTAGTTATTGAGCGTGCTGACCTAGTGGAGCAAAACACTTGAATTCTGAAAGTGTTACACGCTTCCTTAGACTTTAAATGAGCAGTTAAAATATTCCCCTGGATTAGGCCAGAACATTAAACCTGTTGCAAGACTGAGCCAGGAGGGAAAATAAAAATTGGAGCATATACTGTGTGTGTTTGTACTAGGAGAGTCTAACACACACCAAGCCAAGAAATGTGCTGCTTGTATGTGCTGATATGTTCTGGTGCTTCAGCTACTTCTACAATGGCCCTATGCTATTGATAATGGAGAGGTACTGGTTGTGCCAGGCAGCTGACTTTCATGTCAAAAATCAGAGACCTCTCTCAATGGAAGTGGAACTACTGCAACATCTGTGCAAAACTTGCGCTCGCTGCTTCGGTAGCCCTGAATACTCCACAAGTGTGGAAAGCTGAGTAACAAGTCAGTGTTGGGGTTTTTTGTTTGTTTGTTTTTTCAAGTTGTGGAAATACTTTGCTTTAGAAGGCAGTCTGAGTGTCCCAGAAATAAGTGATGTCTGTTTGCTATTCTTCCCCCCTTCTTGTGCTTATGTTGGGCTGTTTCCTTCCAGAATATGTTCATTTCCTGCAATTAATGAGAGTTACTAGATCTGTCTGCATTTCCCTTTTTATTTCTCTTGCATAGCTTCTCAGAGTAGGGCCAAATTTTACAGGACTTGTTGTTTGTGAATTTAAAAGGTTAATAATTGTGACTTGATCTTTTTAAAGGTAGTCCAAATTACTGTCTGCAATTACTTTCAGCCAAGTGAGGAGAGCTGATCCTCTTTCTGCTGAAAGCAAATAGTCCTTTGCTGTTAAAGTGGTAAAAATGTCCGAGTGATTTCCTCTAGGTGAAAGCTCCTCCACACCTGTCTCCCACCTCCTCTTGGTTTAAAGATCTTAATGAGGAAATGCTGTTTACCACCATGATGTGTTTCATTCTACTTTGACATGCAACATTTCCCTCGGCTTCGTCCATGGTGTCAACTTGGACCGCAGTCTCTGAAGCATTGTTGTGAAGGGCCCTTTTCTTCACTGGCCTTTGAGTACCGTCACCATCAATGCACTTCTTGCAGTTTTAAATCAGCCTCTTAGAAGTAGTGCAGGTTCTGTTACTAATTTTGTTCAGTAAAAACACAACCTCTTCTTCTTCTCCCTGCACCCAGCATGTGTCCCTTTATTTTCTGTAGTTCTGCCAAAGCATCTGGTTTACTTGACCTGTTGGTAGCGTGAAGGTCTTGATGTAACAGGTACTGTTTTATCTTTTAGCCTGTTAGTCCACTCTTGTCCTTATTATTTTAAAAACTGGTCATCCCTTTGATGCTTAATTAATTAAATGGTACGTTTGATATGTTCAGATCTGCCTGGCACAGCCTGAAATTCAGATTGGTGCAGACTAGACAGTCACACACACTCTGAACAGAGGGAAGGTGTTAGGGCATTGCATAGGTGGTGCTTCTGGTTTTTGTTTTTAAAACAAAATCTAGATGAGAACTTCAGGGGTCCCAGATACCTGCGGACAAGCAAAAGGTTTTGGGCTCTTTCCCATTTCATTTAATAGGAGGATAAAACATTAACCTTTCATTCTGATGGGCCTTTCCAGTTTGAATCAGCTGTAAAAGAAAGTAGGTGTAACAGCCTTTGAGGTGTATTAATATCGGGTTTTTTATCCAAGACTGGAAGCCCAGCAACAAAAGCATAATCTGTTCACTTAACAAAAAAGACACAAAAAACTCTAGCTTTTGAAAGTCAGCAACAATAGCATTACTGGTTGCTAGCTGTAATTTGCTTATGTTAGAGATGGCAGCATGTGCATGGAGCTGAAAGGAACAGATGTCCTAATAAAGTACATGGTTATTCATGATCTCTCTTCTTTTTTCCTTAAAGTTGGAATTTCAATTTTCACACTCCTTTCTCTGATCCTTCTTAGATTAGCTGCTGAACTTCTGAATACTTTGAAGTGTGTAAGAAGGACTTAATGAAATGCTTGATAAAATACCACAGTGGAACGTGTGAAGTAATGGTTTTTCAAGCACAATACTAGTTCAGCTTTCCCGCAACTTTCGAATGCCTGGGACTGTTGTGAGGATGCTGAAGGGCAGAGTGGATTCAAGCAGAAAAAGCTTTTACATATAGTTGAAATACTGTCTTGGTCTGCCACAGGTTTTTTGTGTGACATCTCAGTAGTGTGGCTGAACCTTAATTTAAGTGTCTCAAGGAACGGAGTCTGTGCTTATCTGTAGATATTTTGAAAGACAGAGGTGAGTGGTAGAGGAAATGCATGAAGAGCACAGAATGTAGTCTGAGATGGCCTTTATCTAGGTAAAGGGGGGGAAACTATTGAAGGTGCTACTGTTCTTTGAAAGAGTAAGTGAAACAACCCAGTGTAAGCCAAAGTCATTGAGTAGGTTGGAACTTGAGGTTCTGTTTTATGTGGCCAGAGTTCTGGTCCTTTGTGGGAGATGCATGTGAATTTGCTGCTCCTTTTGAGTGTGCAGGAACAGTGGTAACGGGAGAAAATCTTAATTTATGGTGTTTCATTCACAATCATTGGAATGTGTCATAAATCAGTAAGGGTAGCTGCTGGCAACACTGATCTAGGCAGAGTAACGAGCATG